ATTGCTTGAACCCAGGAGGCAGAGGTTGCAGTGAGCTTAGATGGCACCACTGCACTCCAGCCTGGGTCACAGCAAGACTCTTCTCAACAACAACAAAAAAAACCTACGTGTAAGTTTATCAAGAAAGTACAAGGCCTGCACAGTGAAAATACTGAGGATTTCTTTTTTTTTTTTTTTTTTGTGAGACGGAGTCTTGCTCTGTCGCCCGCTGGAGTGCAGTGCCGGATTCTCAGCTCACTGCAAGCTCCGCCTCCCGGGTTCACGCCGTTCTCCGGCCTCAGCCTCCCGAGTAGCTGGGACTACAGGCGCCTGCCACCTCGCCCGGCTATTTTTGTATTTCTTAGTAGAGACGGGGTTTCACCGTGTCAGCCAGGATGGTCTTGATCTCCTGACCTCGTGATCCGCCCATCTGGGCCTCCCAAAGTGCTGGGATTACAGGCTTGAACCACCGCACCCGGCCAATTACTGAGGATTCTTGAGAGAAACTAAGGAAGCTCTAATCAATGGAGAGACACAGCACATCTATGGACTGAGACAGTTAAAACTGTGAAGATGGCAGTTCTCCCCACACTGATGTAGAGATTCAGTCAAAATCAAAATCCCGGCAGACTTTCTTTGTAGAATTTGACATTATCCTAAAATTTATATGGAAATGAAGAGAACCTGGAATAGGCAAAATTTGTTGACAAATTAAGAAAAAGGTTAGAGGGCTATGCCATCTAATTCCAAAACTTACTGTAAAGCAAAAGTAACCAAGATATTGTGGTATTTGTGAAAGGAGATAATATACTGATCGACAGGGTCCAGAAGAAAGCCCTCACCAGCCGTTCTGCTATTTATTCTCCAGTGTCTCTGTCTCCTTTGTCCTTCTATTGTCTTGATTGTCTTTGTGTTTAACAAATGCTTTACAACGTCATTTAACAATCCCTCTTGAGTTTTCAGCTGTGTTTTTTAGAGTTATGTATGCTGTGGCTCCATCTCCTCGCTCTTCCTTTGTGCTTATTATCCTCTATGTTACATCTATTTGTTGTAACTCCAACAATACAAGTTATAATTGTTGCTTCAATTTTGTGTTTTGTAAAGTAATGAGAAGATAAAAGAAATTAACAATGCTGTCTCTTATTCTCATCCCATAATCACCATTCCCCATGCTCTTCATTCCTTCTAACAGACTGAAGTTACTGTGTGGCATCAGCCTAAATGCCTTCCTTTACGTTTCTTGTAGGGCAGGTCTGTTAGCAATGAATTCTGCTTCTGTTACTCCGTGAATGTATTTAGTCTTCATTTTAAAATGTTAATTTCACTGGATACAGAATTCCTGGTTGACGTTTTAAAAATGCATTTTGAACATGACCATATCTGGAAGGAGTTTAGCAGAAAATACAAACCTCTGAACAAAATAGAAATCTATGAATCTGGCTGGATGCAGTGGCTCATGCCTGTAATCCTAGCACTTTGGGAGGCTGAGGCAGGTGGATTGCCTAAGCTCAGGAATTTGAGACCATCCTGGGCAACATGGCAAAACTACATCTCTAGTAAAAATACAAAAAAAAAAAAAATTAGCCGGGTATGGTGGCACACGCCTATAGTCCCAGCTACTTGGGATGCTGAGGCACAAGAATTGCTTGAACCCAGGAGGAGGAGGTTGCAGTGAGCTGAGATTGCACCATTGCACACCAGCCTAGGCGACAGGGCGAGACTCTGTCTCAAAAAAAAAAAAAAAAAAAAGGAAATCTATCAATCCATATCGTTATAAATTAGTGAATACATAGATACGTGAATTGGGTAAAAGAAAATGCTCTTCTTTATAGTAGAATGACAATTAATATATATAGAAGGAACTGTGGAAATGGAAAAATTGCTATGAGGCAGTCATCAGAGTGGTGGCTGATTGGGGGGCAGGGGGCGTGAGGCCGGATGAGGAAAAAGGTATCAGTGTCATTTGGACTATCTCTCCACAAGACACCCATCCATTATGGGGGACGTAGTGACTGCAGTAAGAATGCCTGATAGATGCCTGTGTGGTCAGGCGACCAAGGTGAACACCCTCCTGGAGGAATCAGGCAACCACGGTTAACATCCTCCTGGAGGGATCAGGAGACCAAAGTGAACATCTTCCTGGAGGGATCGGGATACCAAGGTGAATATCCTCCTGGAGGGATCGGGATACCAAGGTGAATATCCTCCTGGAGGGATCGGGATACCAAGTTGAACATCCTCCTGGAGGGATCGGGATACCAAGTTGAACATCCTCCTGGAGGGATCGGGATACCAAGGGGAACATCCTCCTGGAAGAATCGGGAGACCAAGGTGAACGTCCTCTTGCAGGAATCAATCCGGTGACTAAGGGTAACGTCCCTGTGGCAGAATGCGTCAACTCTGTGCTCTGATGTGCGAAGCAGAGCAGTAGCATTTCTGGGGCATTCCTGCCAATAGAGGATGGTCTGGTCTCCTGAGGAAATACCAGACAACCCAGGTTATGGGTCACCCTTCAGAATGTGAGGCCTAATTATTCTTCAAAACTATTGAGGACAAGAAAGAGAAGTATGAGGAAATGTTCCAGTCCAGAGGAGACAGAAGAGATGTTACAGCTGGATGTAGCTCATCTTTCCATGAGATTCTTGACCAGAGGAGAAGAGAAACTCTTGGCAACTGCTGATGGGATGGTAGAGCTGTGTCAGCGTGGACTGTGCTTGTCAGTGTGGACGCCTGGCCTGAGTTGCGGGCGGTCTTATAGGACTGTGCCGTGTCAGCGTTGACGCCTGGCCTGAGTTGTGGATGGTCTTGTAGGACTGTGCTGTGTCAGTGTGAACACGTGGGCTGAGTTGCGGGTGGTCTTATAGGACTGTGCCGTGTCAGCGTGGACGCCTGGCCTGAGTTGCGGGTGGTCTTGTAGGACTGTGCCGTGTCAGTGTGAACACGTTGCGCATGGTTTTGTAGGACTGTGTTCTTGGTTTTTAGCAGTGCCAGGGTACCACATTGGTAACATGCTCAGAGGTTCAGAGAAATACCAATGATGACAGATAGGGAGCAAATTAACAAAATGTTAACATTTGGGGAAATCTGGGAGGGGAGATATTGGAGTTTTTTTTTTTGTTTTTTTTTGTTTTTGTTTTTTTTAAAATACTGTTCTTACAATTTTTTCTATGTGCTTGAATTATCTTCAAAATAAATTATTAAAAAAACTCATCTTACAACATACCTCAAGATAAACTTCAAAGAATTTGGAAGAAGGTAAACATTAAAAACTACAAGAATTCTATTCTGTGAAAGATAATGTCAAGAGAACAAAAGGACAAGCCACAAAATGGAAGAAAATATTTTCAAGATACATATTTATCTGATAAAGAAACGTCATCAAAAAAAAGACTCACAAAAAAGAACTGTCGGCCGGGCGCGGTGGCTCAAGCCTGTAATCCCAGCACTTTGGGAGGCTGAGATGGGTGGATCACGAGGTCAGGAGATCGAGACCATCCTGGCTAACACGGTGAAACCCGGTCTCTACTAAAAAATACAAAAAACTAGCCGGGCGAGGTGGTGGGCGCCTGTGGTCCCAGCTACTTGGGAGGCTGAGGCAGGAGAATGGCATAAACCCGGGAGGCAGAGCTTGCAGTGAGCCAAGATCCGGCCACCGCACTCCAGCCTGGGCGACAGAGCGAGACTCCGTCTCAGAAAAAAAAAAGAACTGTCATCCAAAATATACACAGGACTCTTAAAACTCAACAATAAGAAAACAATCCAATTAAAAAATAGGCCAAAACCCTAACAGACACTTCAGCAAAGAAGATATGCAGATGAAAAATCAGCGTAAGATGCTCCTAGTCATATGTTATCAAAAAAACGCAAAATAAAACAGCAAGATACCACTACATACCTATCAGCTGGCCGAAATCCAGAACACTGACATCACGGAATGTGAGCACGTGGAGCAACAGGAACTCTCATTTGTTGCTGGTGGGAATGGGAAAAGCTGCTGCCACTTTGGAAGGTAGTTTGGCAATTTCTTTCAAAACTAAACACCCTCTCACCATCTGATCCAGCATTCACATTCCTTAATATTTACCCAAAGGAGCTGAAAACATGTCCACACAAAACTCTGGCACATGAACATCTATAGCAGCTTAACTCCTAATTGCCAAAACTTGGAAGCAACCAAGATGCCCTTCAGCAGGTGAATGATAAACTGTGATACATCCAGATAATGGAATATTATTCAGTGACTAAAAAAATGAGCTAGCAAACCATGAGAAGAGATGGAGGAACCGTAAGTGTGTGTTGCTAAGTGAAAGGAGTCAATCTGAGAAGCCACATACTGTATAATTCCAACTCTAGGATAGTCTGAAAAAGGGACCATAGAAAGATCAGTGGCTTTCAGGTGTTGGTGGGAGGTGGGGGAGGGATGAACAGGTGGCACACAGAGGATTTTTAGGGCAGTGGCACTATTCCATATGCCGCTACAATGGCGGATACATGTCACTGTGTATTTGTTCAAACCCATAGAACATACAACGCCTAGAGTGAAGCCTGATGGAAACCATGGACTCCGGGTGACAATGATGTGTTCATGCAGCATCATCAGTTTTAACACATCAGCTGGTCTGGTGGGGGATGGGGATGGGGGAGCTGTGCATGTGTGGAGCCGTGGTATATATAGGAAATCTGTACCTTCCTTTCAATTTTTCTGTGAACCTAAAACTGCTCTAAGAAGAAGTTTAAAAAACCATTCAATTAGAAGAAAATGATTTAGGTATGTGAAAAAAACCTCCCCAAGCATGAGACCCTATGACTAGATTTGAGTACAGAAAAATATTAAGTCTCTCAAATTCAAAGGTCAAATATAAAATTACAAAGCAAACTGAGTAAAAGGTTAATATCCTGCACACTGAGGGGTCTATATAAACGACAAAGGAATAAAGCAGATAATTCATAGAAAAAACACAGAGGAATAAATTTAAAACACTCAGAATCATTAATAGTCACATAAATGCAAATCAAAATTACTATTTCCTTTCACACTGGCAAAGAGGAAACACAACAGACACAGTGAGTGTTCTGAACGTGTCCAGGGTGCCTTCAGCCTGCTGGGACAGAAACAAGGCGGCCCTGTGTACCTCAGCACATATCGGAAGCGTTTAGAGAGTTGGTGTGTTCCCTGTGCCTTCCAGAACTGAATGCGAGGAGGAGCATCCAGTGAGGACGGACGTCTATGCAGAAACACGGTGAACCTCTGCAAACGACACACACTCTGGGAACAGGGGGCTTAGACAAGGTCAACCATGGGATGAAACAGAAAGAAGCTGTTAGATGTGGCCCCGTGGAGATGCAGGAGACAGTGTGCGGGGAGATGGCCTGTGTGGGCTGAGGCCGATGTGCGCTGAGGGTTGAGGGAGGGATTCACTTTGAAAACGGACCAGCAATTCAAAGCCAATTACCAGAAGCAAACCCAGTGACACTATTTTTGTTAAAAACCAAGAGGACAGAGAATGCAAAGGAGCCAGTTTTCTCCTGTGACTTGTTACACGGTCATCAGGAGCTTCTCCCTGGGACTCAAACGCTGAACCATTTTGGTAAATATGTAGCCTCCTATACACCGGGTGGAAGGACAACACCCACTTGGGTAGGTTCTGACAACTCTGATTGATTAACCATGACCTTTCAGGGAATATATATATGTATTTATATAGTTGTTGTTGTTGTTGTTATTTGTTTGTTTTTTGAGACGGAGTCTTGTTCTGTCGCCCAGGTTGGAGTACAGCGGCACAATCTCGACTCACTGCAAGCTCCGCCTCTCAGGTTCACGCCATTCTCCTGCCTCAGCCTCCCGAGTAGCTGGGACTACAGACGCCCGCCACCACACCCGGCTAGTTTTTTGTATTTTCAGTAGAGACGGGGTTTCACGGAATTAGCCAGGATGGTCTCGATCTCCTGACCTCGTGATTTGCCCGCCTCGGCCTCCCAAAGTGCTGGGATTACAGGCGTGAGCCACTGCGCCCGGCCTCAGGGAATATATTTTAATTGACACGTGTATTGATTTGAGGTAAGGTTACAGGAAATTTTACTTACCCATGCGTCCATCTTGAGGTGGACTAATCACGGAGATTCTCGCAGGGCCGGCTGCTATCTCCGACTAAGAATGCAACAAGAAAACAATGGATAAAATTCCAATATTGCCGCTTACAAGATTCAGACTCCCGGTGTCTGTTAGGAATACATTTCCTGGAACCCCATCTCCCTCATCTTTATTGCCCTCTGACAAGTTCCTGTCTAATTTGATTCTGTGTCCATCTCCCGACTCTGCCTGCTGGTGGTAGAAGGGGTGTGGGTGGGTATTATCTATTTGATTCCCTCCGTTCCACCAGGGCCTATAACGGTGAATGGATAACGGGCTCTACTAGGAATTTTAGGTGAAAAAAACGAAGTCTGCAGCTGATGTTAGAGAATGTGAAATCCTGAGTAAATCATTCTTGGGTGCATAATTTTGTCACCTTGAAGTCCAGATGCCGACAGACAGGGTGGAGCTAACGCTGCTCGGAGCTGTGTGTGCTGGGCCCTGCTCTGTGCCCACCCTTCACCCTACCCAGCAACCACAAGGCCGCTGCTGCCACCCTCCCTCCTCAACCCACAGGAACCTGTGAATCCACAGCTGCCAGCCCAGGTTCTGAGACTGGTGAGGGAGGCTGCTCTGCTCTGAGTCCCTCCTGCCTCTCAGTGCGACCTGCAGCATGGCAAGGTGCTATTTCTAGTTGCTGCCCCTTCCTGGGCTCGCTCCTCTGGCTCTCAACTCACTGCTGGCATCTCCTGTTCCCAGGCTCCTTGCCTCACCCCCGCTGGTCCTCAGGTTCTGCCGTCATCAACTGTGCCCCGCCAAGACCTCTGCTGCCCACCTTCCTGGCTTCTGCCCCTGGCACAGCCATCCCACAGACCCTTTAATCCACAGGCCCTTCCAGTACACCATGGAAGCCCCTCTGTGTCCTTGTGGCCTCTCGAGCAGCACAGCAGCGCCCTGCTCCGGGGACACTCTCTGCCACACCCTTGGCCCTACTCTGCCAGTCCTCTGCTCCTGCTTGCTGGCAAGACTCTAACCTTGGAAGGATGGACCCCCCCCCCCGCTTGGCATGGCCCTCTGAGCTGCCTGCAGGCCAGTGGTCTCATGGAGCTATCCATGGGGCGCATTCCCCATCCACCCGAAGCTCATGACCTCACTCCCACCCCCAACAAAGCAGAATCTTGTGAAACTGGGAGCTTTTGTCTCTGTATCTTCAGCCTCTGCCTGCCATCCTGTGAACACCAGACGTATTCCTGCCTCATCAGGACAGGCTCCAGGTACTTCCTCTCACCTGCCTGGAGTGCTGCTATGCCATCATTTCTGGATCCTTCCCATCTGCTAGGATGTCTTCAATATAAAGTTCATCCTAAGAATCGCCTTGACATCACCGCCCCTTTGAACTACGTTTCATTTGCTGCTCCGTTTAGAGAAAATCTCCATAGAGATTCCAGTGCTCGTGTCTTTCCCCGTCCTGGTGCTGTCTGATAGCTGTGAGTTACAGAAGAGAGTGGTGCAAATCTTTCTTGTCCATGGGCCGTGGCAGACTTGGCTGGGCAAGACACTGGTTCCTGCCATGTGGGAGGGGCTGTGTACCCATTGGTGTGTTCACATCTGCATTCCTGGCTGCCTACACACATATTTGCTCTTTGGATTCTCCTTTAAACCAGTTTTCACATTTAACTGGTGGTGTATTAGGCCATCCTTGCACTGCGATAAATACCAGAAATTGTGTAATTCATAAAGAAAAGAGGTTTAACTGGCTCATGCTTCTGAGGGCTGTACAGGAAGCATGGCAGCAGCCGCTTCTGGGGCGGCCTCGGGAGGCTACAATCAGGACGGGAGGCCAAGGGGGAGCAGGCGCATTGCAGCAGGGCAAGCAGGCAAGAGACTAGGGGACAGTGCCACGTGCTTTTAACTAGCCAGATCTCATGAGAATTCGCCCACCACGGCAAAGACAGTACCAACCATCAGGGATCTGCCCCCATGACCCAAACATCTGCTACCAGGCCCCACCTCCAGCACTGGGGATTATAATTCAACATGAGATGCCAGCAGGGATGAATACCTAAACTATATCAGCTGGTTTCCCTCATTAACTCAAAACTTCTTTTTTTTTTTTTTGAGACAGGGTTTCACTCTGTCATCCAGGCTGGAGTACACTGGGGCAGTCACAGCTCACTGCAGCCTCAGCCTCCTGGTGGTGATCCTCCCACCTCAGCTTCTCAGTAGCTGAGACTACAGGTGTGCACCACCATGCCCAGCTAATTTTTTGTAGAGATGGGCTCTTGTCATGTTACCCAGGCTGGTCTCAAACTCTTGGGCTCAAGGGATCTGCCTGACTCAGTTCTCAAAGTGTTAGGATTACAGGCGTGAGCTACTGTGACTGGCCAATTCGTAAGCTGAAGGAAGTATGTGAATGGCATTCATTTTGTATTTGTGAGTCATTATTTTACCTTTTCAAAAAGATACGTTAACCCTGGTCAATTTTACATAACAGAAAATCCCATGCTTATTTAAGGTGAACAGATTTATCTGTTAATTATCTTAATTAAGTTAATTAAGAAATTATCCAGCCAAGCCCCACACCGTAGTCAACACTTCCATCTCCGTGTGAAAGCAGACTCTCCCTCGCCTTCTCAGGCACCTTGTCCAGGGAGGTGGGGGCCTTAGGCTCTGCTTCTCCTCCTCCCCAGTGCCAGCAGCCTGAGGTCCCCAGGCCTGGAGCAGCAAGGGTGGAGGAGGAAGGAAAAGAACCAAGCCTCTCTGGGCAGGCCCAGCTGTGTCCCAGGCACTCTCATGGGATGGCACTGGCTTTGCTTCTCCAAGTCCACCCAATGACAGACACTTGCACTGTGGCCCTCCCTCTGACGAGCCTTCGGGGCAGGAACCCCACCAAGAGCACCCCCGATAACGCTCTTTCCTATGTAGCCCTCAACAGTGTGGGAGGTTCACCTCGAGAGGCCTGTACACTGCTCTCCGCAGGCCACAGAAGACCGCGGTCTGCAGAGGCAACAGGTGGTGTCCCCAGAACCTCTGCTCAGGCTGAGGGTTACCAGGAGCACCTCTCACTCTACGCAGTTATGTGGGGCAGGGAGGACAGGAGCTCTTTCCAAAGGAACTGCTCCACACATCCACTCCGGGGTGACAAGGCGTTTCAGGAGGTGAAAAACTGGTTTTAGACACTTTCCTTGAAATTTGCATTCTGGTGTGGCACAGGGGTGGGCAAACTATGGCCCGCAGCCTGTTTTTGTTAATGAAGTTTTATTAGAACACAGTCATGGTCATGCCATTAGCTTCTGTACTTTCTATGGTTGCTTTTGCAATTCCACGACAGAGTTGAGTGACTGTGATGGACTGTCTGGTCTGCAAAGTCCAAACGTTTTACTATCTGGCCCTTTACAGAATATGTACCGGTCGGGCGCGGTGGCTCATGCCTGTAATCCCAGCACTTTGGGAGGCTGAGGTGGGCGGATCACGAAGTCAGGAGTTTGAGACCAGCCTGACCAATATGGTGAAACCCCATCTCTACTAAAAATACAAAAATTAGCTGGACATGGTGGTGTGCACCTGTAGTCCCAGCTACTCAGGAGGCTGAGGCAGGATAATTGCTTAAACTCGGGAGGCGGAAGTTGTAGTGAGCCGAGATCTCGCCACTGCACTCCAGCCTGGGCGACAGAGTGAGACTCTGTCTCAAAAACAAACAAACAAACAAACAAAAACCACAAAAACCCGCATCCCCCCAAAAAAAAACAAAGAAAATGTGTGCCCATGTCTGGTCTTTCCCCCTCACCTAGGAACTTTGATTCATTACATTCTGGTTCCTCAGCAATAATTTCCAACAGTAGCACCCAGTGAAGTGTCAATCAATTTAGCCTGCCAGTCTTTTCTTTCTTTTAGAGACAGGGTCTCACTATGTTGCCCAGGTTGGTCTTAAACTCCTGGGCTCAAGTGATCCACCTGTCTTGGCCTCCCAAAGTGCTGAGGTTACAGGCGTGAGCCCGACGTGCCTGCTGCCTGCCAGTCTTGAGTATTCTCTATTCTCGTCAATTACTCAGATCCTAAGGAAAGGTAGAAAGCTGACCTGACAGAACCAAGTTCTTCCTCCTTAAGCTGTGGGGACTTGGAGGCTGTGAGTTCATCCATTAAACAAGGTCCTAGTGCACCAAAAGACAGCTGGAAGCAGGTGTCCAGCCTTGGGGGAGCCAAGGCAGGTGGTAGGGACCTACAGGGACCCAGGAGAGGGTTCCATAAGAGCTTCCAGCAGGGCCTGAGGGGGCAGGTGGCATGCTCGGTGTGGGCCAGTTGCCTCAGGACACGGGCACCCACGAGGCAGTGTGTCCCTCTGGAAGCACGGCTCCAGTGCTGCCAATGTGTATGGGTGCGGCCATGAGGATAGAGGAGGTGAGCTGGGCAGGGAGAGGACGCGTGTGCTTGACCCAACTGCCAAGGAACTGGCGTTTCTCTTTCACTGAAGCTGTGGCAGCTCTTCATTCCCTACGGAATCCAGTTCCGCCTTCTTATCCTGACTCCAGGTTCCTCCATCATCTGGCTCTGGGTGGGATTACTCATGTCACAGGGCTGCTAGGACGACAGAGTTTGTATCTATAAAGGCTCGGAACAGTGCTTGCCAATGAGCCACACTGTGTCGCACAACACGAAGCAACACATAAATCAAATAAGCCAATCACTGGCACTGTGGAACACAGGCATTCACCGCCACCAGAACCCACTCGGTTTTCCTGCCTTTGCTCCTTGGCCCCCTCCTGCCCCACATGTTTTTTAAGTTCTGATCCCTCCCATGGGGTGCAGTTCACTGCCCTGAGTCCTTCCCAAACTGCCTCCTCTCTCCTGTTTCCGAGCCACCTGGTGCGTGGCCGCTGTGCATCTGGCGCCGAGCTCTGCCGACCCAGGGAGACGACGGGAGAGCGGGGCCTGGAGTCTCCCTGAGTTCCGGGCAGGTTTCCTCTGGTCTTGCTTCTCTCCAGCTTGAAGTTGGTGCTTCCTGTTTCCCAGAATCCTTAGCTTTTCTGACCCATTTCTTTTCCTGGGCTGACAAAGTTTACTGTTGCCTTCTTTGGCACTGTTTGGCACTTCATGAGACAGCAACTGAAGGCAGGTAAAGCACAGGGCCACCAGCTTTGCTGCCATTTCTGTTTGACACCAACAGGGACCAGCACGGGACCAACATGGGAACAGCGGAGGATCAACGCAGGATCAACCCAGAACCAACATGGGACCAACACAGGGTCAACACAGGACCAACATAGGGTCAACACAAGACCAACACAGGATCAACACAAGACCAACACGGGACCAACACAAGGTCAACACGGGACCAACACAATGTCAACACAGGACCAACACAATGTCAACACAGGGTCAACGCAGGACCAACACAGGGTCAACACAGGACCAACACAGGACCAACACAGGACCTGCACGGGAACAACACAGGACCAACACAGGGTTAACACAGGACCAACACAAGGTCAACACAGGGTCAACACAGAACACAATGTCAACACAGGACCAACATAAGATCAACACAGGACCAACATAGGACCAACACAGGGTCAACACAGGACCAACATGGGACCAACACAGGGTCAACACAGGACCAACATGGGACCTGCATGGGAACAACACAGGACCAACACAGGGTTAACACAGGACCAACACAAGGTCAACACAGGGTCAACACAGAACCAACACAATGTCAACACAGGACCAACACAAGATCAACACAGGACCAACATAGGACCAACACAGGGTCAACACAGGACCAACATGGGATCTGCACGGGAACAACACAGGACCTGCGTGGGACCCTGCCACACTCTGTCTGCATTTGCTTTTGTTTCTCCAGATGCAACTGCAGTCCCGGCCGTTCAGGCAGAACAGGAGGGTTCTCATGACCCAGCTTACAGCCACAGCCCACCCCTCTCACCCACGGGGCCAGCACATGATGCAGGAGCCAGCACATGACGCAGGGGCGCTGTGCAGTCTGTCTACTGTTGCATGAGCGGTGATATTTTTCAGTACTGAGGAAAATGGGAAATGCCACGTCTGGTACACGGGAAATGAGGAACTCGGCAGGAAAGATGCACTTACTTTTCTAATCGGAGAAGGAGAGAGATCAACTTCCATTGACTCCAGTCTGTTAAACACACAGTGAAAGGCTTTGAGTGAGCTCAGGACTTACCCATAACGTCAGTTGAAATACACACAAGACGAGACCATACATAAATGTCTAAATCTTCCTCTAGCTTCGTGCTGCAGCCAGAGTTTAGCCACTGAGGCATCTGATCACTGCCATTTCCCTCCGTCTTTAGGGCCACCCGCCGTCTGTACCAGGATGTAGCCTCTCCAGGACACAGAGGTCGCTGGCCCACCCGCCCTGGCTGGGCTCTCTCTGACATGCCTCTCTTGCACCTCTGCACACTTGGCTTCTCCCTCCAGACCACACCTTCTCTTCTCTCTGCCAACGCCTGCCTGGAGCCTGCTAGACTAGGACGTCCTGAGAGTGGGATCCCGAACTGACTTCTGTTATCACTCGCTGCCTGGCCACACATACCACACCATGCACGCTCACTACACACTAGTTCCTTCATTTGACAAAGGGAGACAGGAAAACATCGGATTCATTTTGCATTGGCCCCCTCCTAGCCCTGCCATCCTTATGGCTCGCGATCTCTGCAGAAAGAGGCTCACTCTTTTCCAACAGCTCCAGCAAGAGTCCCATGGATGACTCCCATTAGTCCAGCCTGGCTGGAGTGAATTTTTCTAATTTTAGGTGGCCTCAGCAACCATTTTGATGACAGGTTTAACTTTCTCATACCAGAGGCAGGGCTCAGTCACCTTCAACAGTTTTCAGTTCTCCACCAGCTCCCAGTGCCTCAGTGTGGTCCATCCGGACACTTGCCTCCCAGTGGCCGCCTCCCTATGGGAGGGTGGACAAAACCCACTTGGCTGGCCCCGCTGACCCCTCACCCTGCATGGACCATGCAGATGTGCCACAGTGATGCCCTCAGTCACAATGGGACCCATGGAGCTCGTGCCTGCCTGCTCTAAACCCACCAATTAAAACTCCCCACGAGAAACTTGCCTGGATGATGCCCTGAGCCTCAATAAAGGTGCTGGCCCACAGGGCCCCCCTCTCTGCCTGACCCTTCTTTCCTGCCTCTTGCTACCTGTGGACAGAGCACTGTCCTCCCCACGCATGGCACCCTCCCCATCCAGGACCTATGAGTAATAAATCTGAGTGTGTTTCCTTTCACAGGGTGGACTGAATTTGTGCCTTGCATCTGAAGAGCTAGGAGCTACCCCAGGCCGGGTTTTCTCTGGGACACTGGAGGGAATATGAGGGTGGGCTCCCTTTGCCAGAGTGATGGCCCGGCAGGCATAGCCTGGAGACGGGGCAGACACAAGCCACAGGGCATCTGCCAGTACGAACGTTTCCTGTGTGAGGGACCCCCAGCCATGGGTTGGGTAACGGGTTCAGGCCATCCACCAGGTGAAAAGATTCCATGAAAGGCACCAGGTCAGCCCCTTAATTTCCTGTTAGGGCAGGGCTGTCAGCTGCGGGGCACTGGATCCCCAGTTTAGCTGGGGGGGGAGGGGGCACGCAGAACACTGGGTCACATGATCATTCCCAGACCAATCACTGTGGCTGCAGGGATGGAGTGCTCTGATTGGCCGGCCTGAATCACACATTTAGTTTGGGACCTGAGCCTCACAGGGATATGAAATAAGTACCAAAATGAGTTGATGTCCAGTCAATTGTCTGGACTAGCAAAACCTGGGGGCTTGGAGGGGGGATGGGGTTGGGATGGGAAGGGAGGTGCAGAGGCGGAAAGACCTGAGGGTCCTGCGATTTCTGCGAGCGACCCACGCACCTGTCGGGGGTTGATGAGTGAGGTGGCAGCAGGCATCCGTATGGCTTTGCTGGAAGAGTGATGACGAAAATGCCAACGTCAGTGCACACAGTGTGATTCAGCAACATGCATCTCTATTTTGTTCTCTTTCTGGCATGATTTTACTTACTTGAAACTGAACTTTTTATTGTGCTGAAAGTTGTTTGTTGTGATGATCTCATACTAAATAGATGGAGAAAAGGTATTGAATTAAACCATAAAAACTGATGTCCCCCCAGGTCATTCCAACTGAAAGTGAATCAGTGAAATGTTCTTACTGGGTTTGCAAAGGGCATTTCACAGGAATTCAGCGGTTCCCAAAGTGTCCTGTGAGTCCCACGGCCCTGCTCCTCCCCAGCGCAGAAGCCGAGTGAACTCAACACTCACTGCCATTTACATCACTGGCTCTTGCAACTACAACTGTCACTCAGGACACGGCCACCGCTGGTGTTAAAGCTGTGAAATGAAGACCTGACAACAGGAGCCACTAATGCACCAGCTTTGAAAGGCCACTAAGAGGCCAGCCATGGTGCCTCCTGTCCGTCATCCCCACACTCTGGGAGGCAGGGGTGCAAGGACTGCTTGAGCCCAGGAGTTGGAGGCTGCAGTGAGCTGTGATTGTACTACTGCACTCCTGCTTGGGCGAGAGAGCAAGAACTCATCTCAAAAAAGGAAAAGGAAGGGGAAAGGAAAGGGAAAGAAAAAAGACAAGAAAGAAAAACAGGCCAGCAAGAGAAATATGGACAAGTCACTTGGTCACGTTTTCTGGTCTAGCAACCCTGGACTGATCTCCATGATGGCCAGTAGCAGAGACTGCCTGCTGTGTCCCATGACTCCCGGTCACAGAAGGCTGCTGCACCTGGGTCCTCTCTGCCTCACGGGGCCTGGTGGACACGCTGAGATGCACGTGTAAGACTGGGGGAGCGTGTCTGTTTCCGCAGACACACTGTTTCTGTGGACACACTGAGGTGCATGACTGCAGATGAGGGTGGGGCTGTCTCCTGGCACCGAGTGCCCGTCTATGCTGGCCGGGTTTTGAGATGCGAACAGTCTGCCCTCAGCAATTTCAGTTTGGGACCAAGCTAGCTAGGAATAGGCAGTTGTGCAACAGCTCAACCACTCGGACCTCCGCTGTGCAGTCACCTGCTAGAGCCCACCCTGGCACTGCCCCTCAACCTCCTCACCCAGAGTCACTTATCCCGACAGCCTGTGTCCCGGCCTGACATAAAAGTTCACTTTCTGCCTCTTCTCCCCCAACACAGAAGCTCCCAGAGGACGGGCACTTGGCTCGCTCGGCTTACTCCGAATTGCCAGACCCCAGAACAGCACTGAGAATGCACCTGGTGTTCAGTAAACACTGGCTGTTGCGTGGCTGACTGTGGTGGGTGGAAGTACCTGACCTTCTGCGTCTGGCAGGGCTGTGGCCTGGCTCCTCTGCAGGGCACTTGCTCCTGCTTCCAAACCACTCTAAAACGCACTTTGTTTCGTGGGAGCAAGAGGACAATGACAAAAACAACGACGACAACAAAAGTGGGTAGCATGAACGCCACCACAGTGAGGCTGGGCAAGACATGTCGGGGGCAGTGGTCTGGGGTGGGTCAGCTGGGCTCGCAGAGCACACGGGAATCCTCTCTGGAGGAAAATGCAGGCGATACCAGGTATGTAGGGAGTGGGATTGACCTGTGCCACCTCACCAGAGATCAGCAGAAACACACCTCCTCCAGCAAGAGTGGAAGAAAAGAAGGCAGATTTGGATTCCTGAGGGTATCAGGTAAGGAACATAAAAAGGCTGCCTGTGAAATGACTACATAAAAGACGAAGATGCAACAATGAGCAAAGATTATTTTCCAAATGGTGAAATGAGCAGGGATATTCTAGAAATGTTAACTGTAATGGACAGAACAAAAACTCAATGGGGGCCGGGGGCGGTGGCTCACTCCTGTAATCCCAGCACTTTGGGAGGCCCAGGTGGGCGCATCACCTCAGGTCAGGAGTTCAAGACCAGCCTGGTCAACATGGTGAAGCCCCGTCTCTACTAAAAATACAAAAATTAGCCGGGCATGGTGGTGGGCACCTGTAGTCCCAGCTACTCCGGAAGCTGAGGCAGGAGAATTGCTTGGACCGGGAGGTGGAGCTTGCAGTGAGTTGAGATTGTGCCACTGCACTCCAGCCTGGGTGACAGAGTGAGACTCTGTCTCAAAAACAAACTCTCAGTGGGGTTCACTGGCTTAATTTGAAAATCCGGGAGCTGGAAGAAGCAACCAGCATGTGACCAGGTGGCCTAAGACGATGGAGATCACAGCGGAGGCTGATGTGGAGGGCAGGGAGCTGCAGGCCGTGGCCGGGGATGCAGAGGGTACTACTTGAAAAGATAATGGGCAGGAATTTTACAGAATTGATGCAAAACACGAATCCACAGAATGAAAGAAAATTATACACCAAGAAGGAAAAAAATGAAAGTAACTCCACACTTTGATGCATTTTTTTTTTTTTTTTTGAGAGACAGAGTTTTGCTCTTGTTACCCAGGCTGGAGTGCAATGGCATGATCTTGGCTCACTGCAACCTCCGCCTCCCAAGTTCAAGAGATTCTCCTGCCTCAGCCTCCTGAGTAGCTGGTATTACAGGTATACACCACCACACCTGGCTAATTGTATATTTTTTTAGTAGAGATGGGGTTTCTCCATATTAGTCAGGCTGGTCTCGAACTCCCGACCTCAGATGATCCACCCACATTGGCCTCCCAAAGTGCTGGGATTACAGGCGTGAGCCACTGCGCCCAGCCCCTTTGATGCATTTTAAGTATCTGCCTTTCCTCTTGTGATGCTTTAAAGGAGGAATTTGCAAATGGGGCTACCTGGTAAATGTAGGAGGCTTTGCTGTCCACATAAAGTCTCTGTTGCAATGCATTTACAATCTTCTAAAAATGTAAAAGCCATGCTCAGTTTGGAGGCTACATGAAAATACGCTGTGGCCGGGTGCAGTGGCTCACGTCGGCCATTGCAGCACTTTGGGATGCTGAGGTGGGAGGATCACTTGAGCTCAGCAGTCCAAGACTAGCCTGGGTAACACAGCGAGACCCCATCTCCACAAAAAATAAAAAAATTAGCTGGGTGTGGTGGTGCATGCCTGTGGTCCCAGCTACTTGAGAGGCAGAGGCAGCAGAATCCCCTGAGCCTTGGGAGGTTGAGGCGTGAGCTGAGATCACACCACTGCACTACAGCCTGGGTGACAGAGGAAGACCCTGTCTCACAAAAAAAAAAAAAAAAAAAAAAAGAGGAGAGAATACACTGCAGGCTGGATTTGGCCTGGAGTTTCCTTGCTGACACCTGGAACACACCCTTCACAAGACAAGCCTGTGGTAACTCTTAGAACCCAAAATAATGACAGGGAAAGAAGCCCTTTTCACCAGAGGCCATCAGAACCTCGTGTCAGCAGCAGGGCCACCAGCCAGTGTGACTGGCGTCCTCAGCTTCCCTCTGGCCCCACGGCCCCAGTGAGGCCGTGCCATGCTCAGCTGCCTGAGACAGCAGGGAGGCGGGCACCTACACACACGCTGGAGGCTCACCCACTCCTACACACATGGCCAATGGGAGGCAGACAGGGCTCCTGACTCCTCGACCTTCACGTTAGTGTGCAGCCACCAAACAGGGACTTGTGAGTATTCAACATATCTCATAAAATCTAAGGCATCACCGAGTGTAAAATGCGCAGCATCTGTGTATCACTGTGGTAACTGAACTCTGGCTGTTATTGATTCCAAATTCCAGAAACACTGACTGCAGTAAAAGTGCATTCAGAGCAGAGGCAAATGGCAAAGGCACAGGTGAGCTAAAATGTACAAGAAAGGAGGCTTTCAAATGGCTAGATTTTCCAGATACTGAAATGTAATGCTTTAAGTCCCCATTTTGGTTAATCCTAGCAACTCTGGATGTTTCTCCCTAAGATGCATCACCCATTCACAGCAGTGCCTTTAGACACAGAACTTGCCACATATATGTACCTTCTGCAAATGGCTACAACTCCTGGCAGAAAGCAGGCCGCCAGGTTGCAGGTGGAGTCCCGCAGTCCCTGGCCACAGGGCCACCCTGCCTGTGCTGGGTCACTCTGGAGAGGCCGAGGGCGCCTGCTGTTCTCCCAGTTCGCCCGCTCCCGAGGGCACCTGCTGCCCCTCCCATTGCCTCAGGAATCACTGGGGCAGCTGCCCCAAGGGGAACCATTCATGTCTTTTTCACTTTTTCTTTTTTGTCTCCCTTCTTCCCTTCGGTTTTCCCATAGCATTTTTGCTCTGACAAAAGTTTCAGGTAAATGAACGAGCTCTTCCCTCTGCATCTGAGGTCGTCTTTCTTTCTTCATCTTGGAGAGTCAGACCAATGCACGTGGCAGTGGCTGCCCCCACTGCGCACTCACGGCGGGTCGGGGCGGGGGCTTACCTTTGCAGCTGTTCTATCTGCAGCACCGACTTCCTAAGGGATTCTTCCAACCTAGAAATCTAAACATAATTGCACAACCTCTTGTTATTAGACAGGCTATGCTGAGCGACACTGTGACCCTCTAAATTTCTTAAACCATGAATCAGAATGTGGGTTCCTCTGCATGGAGCTGCCCTCATGCTGCTCATAAGTAAATCTGCCTGGAGTCCGGTCCATCAGATACTTAGGAAATTGGCCTTGGGGGCCATGCAGAGCTAAGTCAAATCGAAGCCCCAGGAGACAAATTTCAGTGCAGCACCCTCCACAAGCCGACATGATGCGAATTCAGTGTCAGCCCTTCCAAGGGAGCACCCAGCCTCAAAGTCAGCCACAAGCACCTTTTCCACACACGGTCACTGCCAGGTCATCTCACAGCACAGCCTCTGCTGTCAGGCTGGAACCCTGCCGTGTGTGTGGGAGCTGCCAGACCCCGAGGGAGTGACTAGAGTCTAGGATCCCACTGTCCAGTCTGTAATTATGGCTCATGCTCATCCTCGAGGTTTCCTGGGAGGATGTGGAGACAACAGACACAAAATGTAACAAAAGCTAAGCCCAGGCTGGCTCCTGCAAGAAGCTTCCAGGCAGGGTTTTGGGTGGTTGTCGAGTAACATGGGGCTGTGGTGGGCCTGGGAGGGGTAGGGGAAAGAGGATGGCATGGGGGTGGCAGGACAGGGGTGGGGGTAAGAGGATGGGGTGGGGGAGAAAGGATGGGGTAGGGGTGAGAGGATTTGGTGGGGGTGAGAGGATGGGGTGGGGGTGACAGGAAGGGGTGGGGTGAGAGAGGATGGGGTGGGGGTGGAAGAACAGGGATGGAGTGAGATGATGGGGTGGGGGTGAAAGGATGGGGTAGGCATGAGAAAATGGGGTGGGGGAGAGAGGATGGGGTGGGATGAGAGAGGATGGGGTGGAGGTGGAAGGACAGGGTGGGGGTAAGAGGATGGAGTGGGGTGACAGGATGAGGTGGGGGAGAAAGGATGGGATAGGGCTGAGAGGATGGCATAGGGGTGGAAGGACAGGGGTGGGGTAAGAGGATGGGGTGGGGGTGAGAATGGGATGGGGGAGAGAGGAGAGGATGGGGTGGGAAAGAGAGAATGGGGTGGGGGTGAGAGGAAGGCATGGGGGAGGGAGGATGGGATGGGGGAGAGAGGATAGGGTCGGGGAGAGACAATGGCATGGGGGTGGCAGGACAGGAGTTGGGGAGAGTGGATGGGGTGGGGAAGAGAGAATGGGGTGGGGTGAGAGGATGGGGTAGGGGAGAGAGGATGGGGTGAGGGAGAGAGAATGGGGTGGGGGTGAGAGGATGGGTGGGGGGGAGAGGATAGGGTGGGGGAGAGAGGATAGGGTGGGGGAGAGACAATGGCATTGGGGGTGGCAGGAGAGAAGGGGGGGTGAGAGGATGGGGTGGGGGTGACAGGATAGGTGGGGGTGCCAGAATGGGGTGAGGGTGATAGGGTGGGGTGACAGGATGGGGTGAGGGTGACAGAACCGAGGTGGGGGTGACACGACAGGGGAGAGGCTGACAGGGTGGGTGTGACAGAAGCAGGGAAGGGGTAATAGGATAGGGTAAGGGGGTGACAGAATGGGATTGAGGGGTGACGGAATGTGGTGGGGGTATGATATGGTTTGGCTGTGTCCCCACCCAAGTCTCATCTCAAATTGTAATCCCATGTGTCAAGGGAAGAATCTGGGGGAGGTGATTGGATCATGGGGGTGGTTCCCCCATGCTGTCCTCATGACACTGAGTTCTCACGAGATTTGAAGATTTAAAAGTCTTTGGCAGTTCCCCTCCACCCCCTCCTGCCGCTAAGTAAGATGTGCCTTGCTTCCCCTTTGCCTTCTGCCATGATTCTAAGTTTCCTAAGGGATTCCCAGCCACGCAGAATTGTGAGTCAATTAAACCCCCTTCCTTTATAAATCAACCAGTCTCAGGTAGTTCTTTATAGCGGTGTGACAATGGACTAATACAGAAAATTGGTACCAGTAGAGTGGGGCACTGCTATAAACATATCTAAAAATGTGGAAGCAACTTTGGGACTGGGTAATGGACAGAAGTTGGAACAATTTGGAGGGCTCAGAAAAAGACAGAAAGGTGTGAGAAAGTTTGGAACTTTCTAGAGATTTGTTGAATGGCTTTGACCCAAATGCTGATAGTGATATGGATAGTGAAGTTCCGGCTGAGGAGGTCTCAGATGGAGATGAGGCATTTATTGGGAACTGGAGCAAAAGTCACTCTTGCTATGCTTTAGCAAAGAGACTGGAGGCATTTTGCTCCTGCCCTCGAGATCTGTGGAACTTTGAACTTGAAAGAGATGACTTAGGGTATCTGGCAGAAGAAATTTCTAAGCAGCAAAGCGTTCAAGATGTGACCTGGCTTCTTCTGAAAGCAAAGTCATGTAAGTGTGCACAAAGAGATGATATGAAATTGAAACTTATGTTTAAAAGGCAAGCAGAACATAAAAGTCTGAAAAAACTGCAGCATGACCATGCAGTAGAAAAGAAAAACCCATTTTCTGGGGAGAAATTCAAACTGGCTGCAGAAATGTGTGTAAGTAACGAGGAGCCAAGATGGTGGAGAACATGTCTCCAGGGCATGTGAGAGATCTTCACAGCAGCCCCTCTCATCATAGGCCCAGAGAGAAAAAAGTAGTTTTATGGGCCAGGCCAAGGTCCCCTGCCCAACTCTTGTGCAGCCTCAGGACATGGCACCCTGCATCCCAGCCACTCTAGCTCCAGCCATGACTAAAAGGGTCCAAGGTACAATTTGGGCTGCTGCTTCAGACGGTGCAAACCCCAAGCAATGGCGGTTTCCATATGGTGTTGGACCTGCATGTGTGCAGAAGACAAGAGTTGAGGTTTGGGAACCTCCACCTAGATTTCAGAAGATGTATGGAAATGTCTGGACGTCCAGGCAGAAGTCTGCTGCAGAGGCAGAGCCCTCACGGAGAACCTCTGCTAGGGCAGTGCAAAAGGGAAATGTGGGGTGGTTGCTCCCACACAGAGTCCCAACTGGGGCGCTGCCTAGTGAAGCCGTGAGGGCCACCGTCCTCCAGACTCCAGAATGGTAGATCCACTGACAGCTTGCACTGTGTGCCCAGAAAAGCTGCAGGCACTCAACCCCAGCCCAGAAAGCAGCCACTGGGGCTGTACCCAGCAGAGCCACAGTGGTGGAGTTACCCAAGGCCTTGGGAGCTCCCTGACCCTTGCATCACCATGTCCTGGATGTGAGACGTCGGATAAGAGGAGAAATTTAAGATTTAATGGCTGCCCTGCTGGGTTTTGGACTTGCATGGGGCCTGCAGCCCCTTTGTTTTGGTCAATTTCTCCCACTTGGAATGGGAACATTTACCCAATGCCTGTACCCCCATAGTATCTTGGAAGTAACTAACTTGTTTTTGATTCTACAGGCTCACAGGTGAAAGGAACTTGCCTTGTCTCAGATAAGACTTCGGGCTTGGACTTCTGAGTTTATGCTGGAATGGGTTAAAACTTTGGGGGACTGCTGGGAAGGTATGATTGTGTTTTGAAATGTGAGAAGGATATGAGATTTAGGAGGGGCCGGGGTGGAATGATGTGGTTTGGCTCTGTGTCCCCATCCAAATCTCATTTTGAATTGCAATCCCCATGTGTCAAGGGAGGGACCTGGTGGGAAGTGACTGGATCATGGGGGCAGTTTCCCCCATGCTGTTTTTGTGATAGTGAGTTCTCATGAGATCTGATGGTTTAAAAGTGTTTGGCAGTTCCGCCTGCCCTCTCTCCTGCTGGTATGTAAGACATGCCTTGCTTCTCCTTTGCCTTCCGCTGTGACTGTAAGTTTCCTGAGGCCTTCCCAGCCATGTTGAACATGAATCAATACAACCTCTTTCCTTTATAAATTACTGAATCTCAGGTAGTTCTTTATAGCAGTGTGAAGACAGACTGATACGGGGTGACAGGACAGGGTGGGCGTGAGGGGTGACAGGATGGGATGAGGGGTGATAGGATGAGATGGGGTGACAGGACAGGGTGGGGGTAGCAACATGGTGTGAGTGGTGACAGGATGGGATAAGGGTGACAGAATTGGGATTAGAGGTGACAGGACAGGGATGGAGTAACAGGATGAGGTAACAGGATGGGGTGAGGGGTGAGATGGGGGTGACAGGACAGGGCAAGGTGACAAGACAGGGTGGGGGTAACAGGATGGAAGGGGTAAGGAGGGGGTGACCAGCTGGCAAGCAGGGCCAAGGGTGATCTGTCTGCTCCAGGTCTGAGTGTACATAAAATGTTCATGCACAGACAGGAGGCAGCAGGGTCACACACTGGCTTCCATACTCAGGGAATGGCCCCAGGGTCCCTTGTCTTTAAAGCTGGGTTCCTGACTTTACTGACTACATAACCTTCAAAGTTTTTTAAAAAGGACTTGTTTTTTAAAATGGGATGGTTAAGCAGAGAAGCCTTCAAACTGCCTCCCAAGCTCCCAAGACCCCGATGTTGACCCCAGTGGCTGAGGGGATAAACGTGGCTGGGCAGGGAGGCCCATGTGGTGCTGCACCCAATGGGCTACTTGGTAACTACAGACAAGGGTTGGGCCAATAGGCTGGTCAGAAGGGGACAGTGACAATGTCCCCATAGCTGGAAACATGCAGAGAAACAGATATTGCATCTAGCAGCCTGTCCCCTTTGAGAACAAGGTGTTAACAAGTCTGACATTTAAATCTAAAGGTCAAAATAATTCAAGTGACAATGAATCTATTCGACTTACCTTTTCTCTATAGAAGGCTAACAATCTCCTCCTGTGTTTTTCTTGAAATTCTGAAACCTGAAAAGATCATACGTTTCAGGGGCTGACATGGGTACATGATCTCTGTGGCTGGAAGTTTTGTTGGGGGAGGAGGAGGCTGGAGGGACTCTCAGAACAGCTCACAGTGCTTGTCTTATGTGTGTCCTGCCCCCACAGATGCCCATGGCCAGTGCTTGCCAGGGCAGACACCCCCCACGGGTGGGCAGAGAAGGTGTGAGTGCCAGCAGGCAGGGCCAAAGGCAAACACAGGGGAGGCTTAACAGGCACGACAGGAAAGTCTCCCCAGCAACCTGCTCCATTCAGGTTGTGAGTGGTGCTCCCTCTGGGCCAACCACAGGGTGCTGTCCCTCTGATAATGGCCACTGGTGTGAGGAAGGGCCTCCTGACCAAACAGGGCTGGACCAATGGCAGGGGCAGATGGAAAGAGAGCTGGCACACAGAATGAGGCTAAGTGAGACCCACAGAGCTGGCAGACGCCTAGTGGGCCTGTCTGCACTCCCAGAGCCAGCCATGCCTGACACCAGCACCTCCCATTTACAGGAGCCCCAGATTCCATGTATGCTGTCTAGACAGCTTGAACTGGGTTTCTGAGAGAACCACCAGAAGCAGGAAAGACAGGCCTGTGATTTCCTCAGAGGAAGAGAGAGCTATTTCGTATGAGTCAAGTGTTCAGACAGTGGTGCCTACCCTCTGGAAAGACCAGGCTGGAAAGGCTGACAAACAACAGGGCTAACTGTGGCTCCATTGCTACTGAAATCAGCATCCTCTAGCTCCATCCCCCACTTCATTCCACCCTGCCATCTGCGGTGATAACACAAGCACAAGGGAGCAGCTTGCGTCTGCACATGGCTCACTGGCCCAGTGCAAACACAGGGCAGGCGTCTTCCCTTCTGTGGAAAGGCAGGCCCAGCACACACCAGGCCTTTGTTCCCAACCTCCTCCATGACAGGCCATCTCCAGAGGACAGGGCTGCACAGGGGCCCTCCTACAGGACAGCAGGGATGACAGCCTCGTGGTCTCCGGGCTGCTGCGTTCTTGGAGTGACTCGGAGCTCTAGGGTTCTCCTCTACTCGACAAGGGGACTGTGTCTCCACCCAGGAGGGAAGACAGTCTTGGGTACTACGCCATGGGCTATGAAGAGGAGTGGACAGAAGGACTCTGCAGGCTGCCCTGACTCCAGTTCTCGGGCACATCGCAGGCCACGGCCAGGGCACCTTTCCAACCTTTGCCAACACTTCTCAAGTCCTGCTGCCTGTCGGGGACATCTGCATGCGCCCCTCAAGCCCCGCTCAATTGTGCCTGTGTGGGAAGCTTCTCCAAAGCACCCTCAGCAGGAACATTCCACCCTGCAGGCAAGGGCCTCTGCTCCTCAGCTTCACATGCTCGCGGAGGAACCTACCAGCAGACGTGCCTGATCCCGACTGTGGGGGTGCCCGGTCTGGCTGTTCTCAGAGAAAGGCCTTGGTGAGATGAGGTCAGTCTGTGGCTGGCTCTGATTTGGCAGGGCAGGTGTGGCTGCAGCAAGGACTGGGCTGCAGGGCAAGTCTCCAAGGGGAACTGAGCAGCAGATGGGGTGAGTTCAACTGAGCACGGAGCTGGGGAGCCTCACATGAGCTTGGGGGGCAGCCAAGACCCACTTGTCCGGGTGTTGAGGGGTCTACAGCAGCCTCCAGGGCTCCACTAGGGGGAGCCACACAGGCCTGCAGCATCATGCCGCCTCCGCGGTTTATCTGGCCTGGACTCTGACCAATGTTGGGGCCCAGAGACTTGAGACACTGGGTGTGGCCTCAGAAGAGGGTAGATTTTAATACTAAAACAAAGTTTAAAAGGGATGGTGAGTGTTTATCTTGCAGAGAATATGCCTCTTGAACTGAGACAGAGAAACAGGTCAATGAAATCACTGCAAAACTCCAGGGCTGCGATGGTCACAGAGGCTGCGCTGGGCCAGGTCAGCCCAGGGCCCCAAGGAGGAGCTGCCCGGTGCTCATGTGTGCTTTGCCCACATCCTGCGAACCAGGAGGCTGTGAAGGCCTGAGAGTGAAGGTAGTTGGGGGACAGTGCAGGTCACTCATGCAGACTCTCGCCAAGAGGCCAGGAGAGGCGGCTGCCTGGTCCGAAGCACACTTCTGACTCTTCAGTTCACTACCAGTTCCCCTCCACAGAGTGGACTGTGCCTGCATTCGTCAACATGAGCTCCTGACCACACCAGGACCAGTGTCTGCATGCTCAGTGCTGATGAAGCCTGAGGTAGGGCAGAGGCTGGGTGGATGGAACGGATCTTAGAGGGTTATTGGGAAGAGGAAGATGTTTGTTACCAATTAGACTAGGAAGGGGCACTGGGGCAGGCAGAGGCTGAGGTGGTTTGTTGACGCTGTCCCAGGGCAGGTCCCAAGGCCTGAGCCGTGGTGCTCACAGTTTTGGTCTTAGGCCAGTTTTGCACTCTTAAAAGTTACTGAAGGCCCCAAAGAGCTTTGCTTATGTGGGTTTTATCTGTTGATATTTACCCTATTAGAAATTAAGACTGAGACAAATTTAAAACTATTTATTAATTCATTTAAAAATAACAATAAATCCATTAAGTGTTAATATATGTAACAAATATTCCAGTATTTATGTTACGTTGATATTAGAGTGTAAATATTATAATACCACATCATGTAGGTGCGGGAAAATTCCACCCTGTGCTTGTGGCGCTCACCTCCGTAGTGTAACTGACAGACAGTGGGGCTGTGAGGTCACTGGGCAGAGCCTGTGCTGCCCAGGCTGGAGCCAGCCATCTCCACCGTCCATGCCTAAAGCCTGAGAGGCCTGAGAGGCAGAGCAGACAGGTGGCTGGAGGGGCTGGTCGGGTCTGCTGGGTCTTCTCTCCTGAGACAGCACCTGGCCTCTGCGGCACTTGGCAAAACTGCCCTGCAGCGTGCAGCCTGTGGCTCTGAGGTCTGTGATAACATACGTGTTTTATGAACTCCAGCGACTTCTGGCCCCAAGGGGACTTGGCTTGAATGAGGGTCCTGCTGGATGGAGCAGGGTGGGTGGGGGGGTGAGGTGCGTCCTGGATGGTGTTTCCATGGGACTCTGGCTGGCTCTGGGAGCGCCGGCATCCTGGTCTGGGTGCCCGTGTGGTGCTGAGCCAGCACTCTTGGGGATCTCTGGGTGCTGCTTGGCTTCCACGGGTTGAGCCTCTGGGCACCTCCCTGGAGGATGTGACTGAGCATAACTTGAGATGGGAACAGCCTCAGGACAGCCTGAGACACTGTGGCTGATTCAGGCTGTTTCAGAACAGCCCTGGACAGCCTGAGACACTGTGGCTGATTCAGGCTGTTTCAGAACAGCCCCGGGACAGCCTGAGACACTGTGGCTGATTCAGGCTGTTTCAGAACCAAGGAAGCTTGCTGCAGTGGGACAACCTCCCAGAGAGAGGACAGTCTTGGTGACCTGGCTGACCACGGCCTGAAGGCACAAGCCCACCAAGGAGAGTGACATGCGGGGGTCCATCCTCAGTGTCTCGCCTCAGATCCTGGCTGCCCCTACTAGGCCTCTTTCCCCGCAAGGCAGGTGGGGTGGCCAACGGTGGGAGCTGCACTCTTCACAGAAGAGGGAAAGGAAGTGCGGGATGGGGGCCAGGGGAAGGACCCCTTCTTCTCCTGGCAGCTGTCCCCCAGACTGGTGGACTGCAGCTGTCCAGTGACATCCAAGGAGGCCAGAAGTGCTACTCAGCATGCGGGGGTGGGCACAGAGGACAATGACCTGTGTCAGAAGCCGGGGGTGGGGGAGGCTTGGCATGGAGGCGCGTGCTAACTGGGAGGAGGGTCAGGAAGAAACAGGTAGAGAATGGACAAGCTGCAACTGAGAGGACTGGCACAGCAGCTGGCAAAAGCTGCCAGGGGAGGGGACCACGGAGCCAACACTTCCACAGCAGGGGCTCAGCTGCCAGGAGGGGGGACCATGGAGCCAACATTACCATGGCAGGGGCTCAGCTTTCAGGAGGGGGCATCACGGGCCAACACTGCCATGACAGGGGCTCAGCTACCAGGAGGGGGGCCCATGGAGCCAACATTGCCATGCAGGGATCAGCAGGGATCGGAAGCCAGGCAGAAGGCTCCAGGCGACTGTCAGAGAAGGACAGTGTCAAGAAGAAACCTGCTGCCCTGAACCCAGAGAGCCCTGACCTGGTGGGGAGGGTTCCCAAACCTGAGATTCTAGGTGTGAATATGGGGAGGGGGCATCTTGCCCAAAAGGACCCCAGAGCTGACTGAGACCACTTCGTCTCAATGTGACAGCAAAAGCAAAAACAACAATAAAATAGACCAAATGGACGTTGTCAAAATCAGAACCTTTTGTATGTAAATGTTTCACCATTAAGTAAGTAAAAATTCAACCCACAGAAATATTCTGGCAGAAAATATTTGCTGATCAAATATCTTCAAAGGAACTTGCCTCCAGAACACAGAGAACACATGGTCTCAGGATAGTGCACTTGGCTCATCACGGAACCAAGCCCACCCCCGACAGCTCCACAGTCTCGGGATAGTGCACCTGCTCATCACAGAACCAAGCGCACCCCCCACAGCTCCACAGTCTCAGGATAGTGCACCTGCTCATCACGGAACCAAGCGCACCCCCCACAGCTCCACAGTCTCGGGATAGTGCACCTGCTCATCACAGAACCAAGCCCACCCCCCACAGCTCCACAGTCTCGGGATAGTGCACTTGGCTCATCACGGAACCAAGCCCACCCCCCACAGCTCCACAGTCTCGGGATAGTGCACCTGCTCATCACGGAACCAAGCGCACCCCCTACAGCTCCACAGTCTCAGGATAGTGCACCTGCTCATCACGGAACCAAGCGCACCCCCCACAGCTCCACAGTCTCGGGATAGTGCACCTGCTCATCACAGAACCAAGCCCACCCCCCACAGCTCCACAGTCTCGGGATAGTGCACTTGGCTCATCATGGAACCAAGCCCACCCCCCACAGCTCCACAGTCTCGGGATAGTGCACCTGCTCATCACGGAACCAAGTGCACCCCCCACAGCTTCACAGTCTCGGAATAGTGCACCTGCTCATCACGGAACCAAGCGCACCCCCCACAGCTCACCTGGGAGGTTTCCCTGGAGTACTTCTTACACAGACTGCCTATGCTCATGAAGAACGCCTGGATATCTGCGTCAGTCTGAAAGAGAAAGAAACAACTCTACATTTATTGCGTCTAATAAATGCTTCTGGCCACCAGTTAAAATCTGTACTTCAAGACCTAGAATTAGCTGTAGATGACTCAAATGGCCAGTACATTGTGAATGGCCTCTCAGGGGCCCTGCCAGGTACAGCTTCGATCAGCAGGACAGTCAGTCCCTCGTCCTGGCCGCTTCCTTCTGAGGGCAGTGCTGGGCAGTGGTGAGGGCTGGGAGGCAGAGCCTGGTAGGCGCTGAGCCCCTCTGGGCTACGGCAAAGATACGCTCCCTCCTCAAAAGGGTCTTAGTGAGGGCAGAAGGTCGCCATGAATGAAGGCCTCCAGCCCAGCCTCCTGCACAGTGGAGACACACTAAAATCAGAAGGATGAAATAAGCTGATAAGCATTAAGTCACCACTATGTAGTCACAAGTACATGTCAAGTTATTTAAAAAGCAAGTGTAAGGACCTTAAGAAAGGATGCAGGTTTAAGAAACAGCATCTGCTAGGCCGGGCGTGGTGGCTCACGTTTGTAATCTCAGCATTTTGGGAGGCCGAGGTAGGTGAATCACAAGGTCAGGAGATCGAGACCATCCTGGCTAACACGGTGAAACCCCGTCACTACTAAAAATACAAAGAAGTAGCCGGGCGTGGTGGCAGGAGCTTGTAGTCCCAGCTACTTGGGAGGCTGAGGCAAGAGAATGGTGTGATCCCGGGAAGGTGGAGGTTGCAGTGAGCCGAGATCGCGCCACTGTACTCCCGCCTGGGCAACAGAGTGAGACTCTGTTTCAAAAAAAAAAAAAAGCGTCTGGTTACAAGCCCTCATGCAGACACTGCTAACTTCCTTCTCAAGTGCCTCCAGGGTGCCCTGCCTCGCCTCCCCACACCCCTGGCCTTCCCTCACTTTCCCCACCAAGGACCACGCTAGCACAAAATACCAGGTGACAGCTGTGCTAGGCATGGAGCTGCCGTGAACCAGAATCGCCTGAGCAGTTCAAAGAAAAGGGGCTCCTGCTTGCAATCCCAGTACTTTGGGAGACTAAGGTGGGCGGATCACTTGAGGTCAGGAGTTCAAGACCAGCCTGGCCAACATGGTGAAACCCCATCTCTATCAAAAATACAAAAGTTATCTGGGCGTGATGGCAGGTGCCTGTAATCCCAGCTACTTGGGAGGCTGAGGCAGAAGAATCGCTTGAACCCGGGAGGCGGAGGTTGCAATGAGCCAAGATCATGCCATTGTACTCCAGCCTGGGCAACAGAGTGAGACTCCATCTCAAAACAAACAAACAAACAAACCCCTCAAACACCAAAATCCAAAACCAAAAACAAAGAAAGGGGCAAACACCAGAATGACAAGATGTAGGAAGAACCTTGTACCTCCTCCCATTCTGTGGTTCAGGATGGTGAGCGTGTAGAAGGTCAAGACGGTCATCTGAGCCCATCCACCTACCTACCACTGGCTCCCCAAATCCCACTGAAATGACAGTAAAATTTAGGAAAAAATACTCTATTTGTGGTGGAAAACAGGAAATGATATCTTGAATCAATCAGACTGAAGAATTCTAGAAGACAGTGTAGACTGGCTTAGATCAGGATTAAGGCACCAGCTCCAACACCCGGGGCAGGTGCAGATGAAGAGGTCCTGGAACCCACTCCAGAATCCACTCCCAGGTCCCCAGAGGCAGAGGCCAAGCAGAGCATCCTGGAGGTGAGCTCCTCTGTAACGCGGGGACTCAAACCCAGCAGAGGGGAGACCTGGCTCTGGCTCGGATGGGGTAGGAGCTCCTGTGTAACACCCTCCCATACATACCAAACGGCAAAGGCACAAGCAGTGTGTCCAATGGGACAGGGGTCAGGAGCTCAGAGTCTGGCCTAAATCCAGCTCTGCACACCCTTGACCTGCAACCCTGCTTCTTCACCTAATTCCTCTGTGCCTTGGTCTCCCCATGTATAAAAGAGAGGCAGAAACAGCACCCCCTCAGCCCTGGCCATGGCAAGCAGCAGGTGACACAACACAGGAAAAGTGCCCCCAGCGGAGCATGGCCCATGTGAGTGCACAGGGAGCAGGGACTGTCACTATTATCTAACGTATATTATAAATACACAGATGACTCAAAGACAAGATCAAGAGCTCCATGGACCAGAAATGGGAGCAACTGAAGAAGCTGTCACAGATCAATCTGGCTCTATGGCCTTCTGGGTAAGGGGGACTGAGTCATTCTACACATGACAGACGCTCCAGAATGTCCAGAAGATGAGCTTAGAGACAGAACAGCCAAGAAGTCTACAAAACTAACAAACGGCACCACAGCACAGATGCACAGACCTCAGTGAGGCCTGCGCAGAACACAGGCAGCCGTTCCTCCACCCCGGCACCCATGTCGCAGAGAGCCGGCGATAAGCCAGGGCTGGAATTTTCAAAGTGCTAAGGTGCATTCATTTTCAACAAAGAATTCTGAAGTCTGTGAAAATGTACTTCAAGAAAAAGAGGTATTTTTTAAAAACAGAAACTGAAAATTTGTCACTAACAGCCCAGTACTAAAATAATAAAGGAATTCCCTGTAGGTAGGAAAAATAATTCCTGATAGAAGCACAGAGATTTGGGAGGCAGAGAGGAACAGGGAAGAGGGGGAAATGGGGGAAAATCTAAATGAGTATTAGCTGTCCATGGCTGCACTGTATGGTGGGGCCTAGCGCAGTGAGAGCCAGTGTGGCTGGAGGAGCGGTGCGGGAAGGCCAGGAGAAGGGGGATTGGGTGAGAGCTGAGGCCTTTGCATCATCAGGAAAACTGAATTTACGTTAGACTTTTAAAAGCCAAGATTGTTCGCACAATCCCTAGGAAAATCATAAACTAATGTTTTCTTTTTGTATTTAATTTTTAAAAGGTGGGTGTGTGCTCCACAATGGTACAGGAATGAGGATACACAGTTAAATCTCACAGCGTGACTGAAGGCCTTTGCTGCGTCTGACACTACCACAGCAGAGGGCGTAAGGACTGCAGGAAACCAATGCCAGTGCAGAGCAATTGAGTCCACGAGGCCCGAAGGCACAAGCGGACATGGGGGCACCAGCGTGCGCGATCCACGGAGCTCTCCTCACGCAGCTGTAGAGGCGTGCTGTTGGTGACTCGCTGTCAGACACAGGAAATGGGCACTGCAAAAGAGTGCTCTTATCATCACGAAGGCTGATTCAGCCACTGCAACTAGGCAGGAAGGGGGTTCTCTGGCTAGGAATGCCAGCCCTAATTTTACCGTCTTGAAACACACACAGATTGTACTGGCTGCAGCACGATACTTTCCTGGGGGTGCCAGGCTCACACGGGATTTCCTTGCTGGAGTCTCGGCTGTCAACACTGATTTCATCTTCTTTTGCTTGCTGCCTGCACGGACTTTGCATGGCTTCAGAATTGTACCAGGCTTACTGCTTTCCCGTGATACTTCTAGGGTTAGGTCTTGTTTTGTGTTCCTGTCAAACATTCTGAAATTACTGTAAGACCCAGTCACAACACTGTCAGATCCATTCCAACAACATGGAATTCGTCAGACACATGGTCCTTTTCACACAGTGCACAGTTTACTTCCGAGCTACTCGTGCACCTGTTACATTTCCACAGGTATTTTCCAGAATTTTCTTTTTTTTTTTTTCTGAGATGGAGTCTCACCCTGTGGCCCAGGCTGGAGTGCAGGGGCGCAGTCTCGGCTCACCACAACCTCCACTCCCCAGGTTCAAGTGATTCTCCAGCCTCAGGCTCCCAAGTAGCTGGGATTACAGGCGTGTGCTTCACTGAGCCCGGCTAATTTTTGTTATTTTCAGTAGAGATGGGGTTTCTCAATGTTAGCCAGGCTGGTCTCAAACTCCTGACCTCAGGTGATCTGCCCACCTCGGCTTCCCAAAGTGCTGGGATTACAGGTGTGAGCCACTGTGCCCAGCCATGTTTTCGATATTGAAGTTCTAACTTTTGATGAACAAATGGTCTCTATCATCATATTTGACCACTCTGGCTGAATTTTACATCAGAAATAAAGGAGATGATTTCAGACAAAAATGACCTGTTGCTGGAATCATCAGGTTCTTCAGCGTAGAATGCCTATCACAGAGGGCAGACACTCTCACGTCACATGAGCAAATAGTTCCTTTACTGCTGCTAGATACAGATGTGTTACAGCTGTTCAGATGGAATTCTGCAGCTGAAATCACCGGTTAGCTCTTCCATATTGTCAGGCTTGATATCTACAATATTAAAACTCCCGTCTATAATTTCCAGATGCCAAAGACTTGATTTTTTTTTTTTTTTTTTTT